GCGGGGCCGGCGGCTCTGCTCCCTCTGCCAGGGATCCCCAGGGCTCAGCAGGCTGCAGCCGCCACCTCACCCTCTGCTCTACCAGGAGGAACTGAAATTTCTGGTTCTTCTAAAGATCAGCGGTGCCACATAAAAGGTAATCCCTACCAGAGGAAATGATCAACTGCTCGAGCGTCTCCTTAGTCTCTGTGGTCACCGACAAGGACAAGTGCAGGGTCCTGCACCTGGGAAGGAATAACCCCAGGCACCAGGACAGACTAGGGGTTGACCTGCTGGAAAGCAGCTCCACGGAGAGGGATTTGGGAGTCCTGGTTGACAGCAAGTTAACCATGAGGCCCCAATGGGCCCTCGTGGCCAAGGCAGCCAATGGGATCCTGGCTGCATCGGGAGGAGCGTTGCCAGCAGGTCGAGGGAGGGGATCCTGCCCCTCTGCTCAGCTCTGGTGAGGCTGCACCTGGAGTATTGGGGGCAGTTCTGGGCTGCCCAGTACAAGAAGGACAGGGACCTTCTAGAGAGGGTCCAGCAGAGAGCCACGAAGGTGATTAAGGGACTGGAGCATCTATCGTATGAGGAAAGACTAAGTGAGCTGGGCCTGTTTAGCCTGGAGAAGAGAAGGCTGAGAGGAGACTTAATCAACATGTTCAATTCCCTGAGGGGTGATCGTAGGGAGGATGGGGCCAGGCTATTCTCCATGATGGCTGGTGACAGGACAAGGGGCAAGGGGTGACACAGTGTCTAGTGACACAGAGAGGCTGTGGAGTCTCCTTCTCTGGAGATCTTCCAAACCTGCCTGGATGCCACCCTGTGCCACGTGCTCTGGGTGTCCCTGCTGGAGCAGGGGGTTGGACTAGATGGGTCTATAGAGGTCCCTGCCAACCTCAACCACTCTGTGATTCCGTGTCTCGCAAGGGTGGTCATTGCTGATGGCACTGAGAACAAAGGATACAAAAGGTCACTGACGAGCAGGACTGGAACCTGCACCAGGTGCAGATGTGTTTTGTGCGGTACCTTTTTTAACAGGGAAACTAACCCAGGTAATCACCAGCTGAGGGCAGCAGCAGAGACCCCTGCTCCCTTGGCCCTGCTGGGCTCCCACCACCCCGTGCTCCTCCTCCTCTGCTCCTCGCTGCCTCTTTCTCCATTTTTGCACTTCTGTTCCTTCCTCCCCTGGCCTGGGTGCAGCTCCCCCTTTGTTACCGTGACCATCAGCAACACCCCACGGCTCCCCCTGCCCTGCTGGTTGTTGCTCCGCGCTCCATCTGCGTTTCCTGTTATCCCATTTACACCTGCTCCCCCACCACCCCGCTCCTCGTGATCCCTGCACCGTCTCGTGCCGCAGACGCCGCGCGGGGCCCAAACCCACAGTTTTTACAGAGGAAGAACAAGCGTTTACGTTTTATATAAGCCTTTATTTACAACTCGTTTAACAACTGTACACTCTTCAGTAACCTTGGAAGCATTAGTGTATTTCATTGGGAAAAAAAAATATTAAACGTTTCAATTCTAATGATCATTGCTGAGATTTTTTTTTTGTCTATATACAGATATGTATATATTAATACTGCTACCATGACAAACTGGTAGTTACAGAATCCATAGGTGAACTGAAATGGGAAATTAATGTTTTTGACACTCTAGCAATCCATTCCCTTACAGGCGAAACAAAAAAAAAACAAAAAAAGAACGTGTGATTGTGTGGGTCGTG